CCTTTGCAGGGGTTCCACGTCTGCGACACGTCAGTGTAGAGTCAGGCATCAGGCTTATTGGAGCAGAGGCCTGGCAAAATTGCCGACAGCTCCGCATTGTCAAACTGCCGGCCACTGTCGTAGGTATTGCCGATAACGCCTTCCGTGACTGCAAACTACTAAACAGTGTCTTGGCTCCTGGTTGTCGAGATTTTGGATACAAAGCCTTTGCGGAATGCTGTTCCTTACAATGGGTGTATGCATCGGAAGGGGTTGCAAATATGTTCAACAGCGAAGCCAAGTTCGGGCAATACCTCTTCCAAGGGTGTATTAAGCTTGCTGAGCTTACCTTGAGTGAGCTTCCATCCCCCCGAGGGTCAACGCTGCAAGCTAGGACCAGTGAGCTAGCACCGGGCTGTCTTAGCTCTACGGGAATCACCGCACTCGCTCTCACAAAGCATTTTGTAGCTATTGGAGCGCATGCGTGCGACGGTTGCCGACTGCTTAAGAGTGTGGACCTTTGCAACACCAATGTTGAAGAAATTCCGGAATTCACCTTTGTGCACTGCACTAGCCTCAGAGAAGTTCTCCTTCCGACTACTCTCCATACAATCCGAGTTAAAGCCTTTATGAACTGTGCAGCCCTAGTTGAGCTTGCAATCCCGCCCTCACTAAGATACAAAGGATATTTTGTGCCAACCGGTGCTTCAGCGCAAAAGGTGCTTATAAGTTTGCGGCTTTGGCTTTTGACGGCTAGTCTAGTCTTTGTTATAACAGAATATATCAACTTGATGCCAGAACAAATGTCAAAGCGCTGCCTCAATGCATGAATCTCAGAGAGCGTTTGCCAGGATAGTAGTCTGTCAATACATGTGCCTCGACTGCCTTCTCCCAAATCGCCCCTCAGGGCGGCGATCACTTGACAAGCAGGAGGTTACCATGCTCAGCTACCAAATCACAAGTCCAGACATTTTCCTTGCCAGCCGAAAATCAAATGCTCATTCTCAAGTTTTTACATTCCTCACCACAATTGGGAACCTAACCCAACCTGTTTTTTTGCAACATTGGCCCGACGCCTTCAAACCCTTTTCCCAATCAAGTTTTTTGGCCATCATTGCTGGACTAAATCTATTCTTAATAACGTATTGAACTACAAGTCTTGTGAACTGCAAACTACCAAAGGTTCAACGCAGGTCGACGCGTACAGTGGATGGCTATCAAATGCACTTAGGACTCAGACAGAGACTCTCCATGCTTCTAGCCCCCCATATTGTTCCTATTCCTGATAGAGAAGCCTTGTTTGCGTCAAACTGTTTGCACCACACTTTACGACTTGGCTGTATCAAGTCTGTCAACCTGACCCTTTTGTTTCCCTCAGAGAAAAAATATGAACACCCTTTTTCAGCAGGCCACGCAATCGCTCCCAAGGTTGTATCCAAGACAACTCGGTCTATTCTACGTCGATTGGTAAGTCTTCATCCGCTTCATCAGTTCCCTCTTCCTCTTCACCTTCGTGAGACTCATCAGGGACTGCATTCTCCTCTGGAGGAGCGGTTTCAACTGGTTCCGAATCCGCCATGGACGGATTGCGGCCTTCAATCACAGCATCGCCAGGCGGCGACTTTGAATTGCCTTTACTCATCACTTCCGCCAGCATAGATACCTCGTAACAAGGAAACGGTTCAAATGCAGTATGTGAAACATCCTAACATCGGGGACTGTGAGCAAACCTGTGAATCATTTCGAGAATACATGAAGAAAAAGAGCACAGCAAGAAAAATTGAACGTATTCATTTGTTGGTTTGCAGGAGGACGCCTTTTTCATAAAAAATGACCAGCTACCACCATTTTCTTCACTTCCTCAACTTTCTCTCCACTCGCAATCATATCATAGGCCGTGTCTGCCACGGGTTTGCTCCTGTCTGGATGGTACATCACGCCCCCAACCTCAGGTTTCTTGATTTTCACACATATCAAGAATAATAAGAACACCTGCCCATAACAGAACACACTTATCGCGGTAACTTTTGCGCAGCTTAGGGACCCGAAGCACCTCTTTGTCTCCAACCTTGATGCCCCAACTTCCGTTGTTACGATACAGGTTGGGCCTGTAGACCTTCTCTCCGGTGCCTCATTGGTCATTGACAGCTTCATTGCAAGATACTTTGCGGGGACATTTGGAGCTTAACTCGCAAGTTTTGTGATGTTTGTATACTGCTGTAGAATCTTCAAAGCCGATAGAAATGCATCATAAAAAAGGCAACGTTGCGTGGCTTGCGGAAAAAACGTTGACTATAGAAAAACGTTGATTTGCACTATTACTGTATATGGAACCTATTGAATCTGTAGCAACTCTTAGCGTTTGGTGAACTATAACTAAAGCTGCAGGCTTGCAGGCCTTCCATCAGCTTCGGCTGTACTCGCGTGAACTTCTTTGACGCTGCTGCAGGACGCTTCATTGGACGTTCTTCAGGTTCGGTGGCTTTTTCTGCTGCTGACGGACGTTTTACTGCTCCTTTGGTCTTTGCTTTCCCTGCCGGCTCCTTCTTGTTGGGTGTCTTGGGCTCTGGATTGACCTCGCCACTTGCTACCTTGGCTTCTTCACCAACACCTTCCATTTTGTCAACCTTCACCTTGTCAACCTTCACCTGTCCAGATGTCTCGGTCGAAGCCTTAGCCTTCGGTTTGCTCTTTGGTTTGCTCTTCGGTTTGCTCTTGGGTTCGCCCTTCGGTTTGGCTTTGGCTTTTGTGGTTCCAGCGGTTTTGTTGTCACTGCTGCCAGCGGCTGGAGCTGCCTCGCAGAAAGGCATCTGACAGAAACAACCGTTGGAAACAGCGACGAAGGAAAGCAACACATTCAAAACAAACTCGCGCAGAGTCAAGCTGAAGCTGGCAAAGCACGCGCAAACGAATAGAAATAACATGCCTGACTCTCATCACCGCTCAAGTCATTCACATTGCTGAAAATGCCCATGGCATCAGAGTTCTTCAAAAAAAGCCCGCAAATTCACCTTGAACAGGAGAACCACGGATATAATGTTCGGAAATAAACGCCGGCGCATTCATCCTGTAAATTAGTTAACAAACATCTTTATCGAGCGATCGCTTATTTTGGAGTTGGGGGCATACTCGATCCTGCAATTGCTCAGAACTGCCAGCTGCCCGCTATCATCACTGCAACTACGGATAGAGGCTTCCCTCACACACACACATTCTGAAGGACGTTGTAAAAAGGGGAACCTCAACCAAGAGAATGTCTAGTAGCAAACACAACCTACTAACATATGGACCAAACTTTGTGAATTTCAACATGCGCAAAAACTCCTTCTCTAGGGGAAGCCTCTTCGTTCAGCCAACTATCTGCAAAACCTCTTAGAGCTGCCGGTTCCCCGGAAGAATGCGTTCTCATCATCCACCACCATCGTTTCATCCGAAACAAGACATTCAGAACAATTTTTACGACTGGTAGCTCAGAGCATGAATCACAAATAGTTTTGCATAGCTCACAAGTCGAATGCGAACGCATGCAATCACCGCAAAGCACTTGAAGACAAAACCTGCTTCGCACACGTAACTCTAACCTGCAGCACACCCGCGCCACACCGCAAGCTCAGCTTGCTGAAAGGTTCATCCATGACTGCGGTGGCAAGCGTAAGGAGCAGGTGAGATACACCTTCGGCTTGATCCCTCCAATTCTGCAAGGAGATTGCTCGACGTCCACCTGCCGAGGAAGTTTGGGAATGATGAGGCACAAAAGGAAACTGAATTGCGCGCCGTTCGCAAAAGGAAACTGAATTGCGGGTCGTTAACGCGTACGTAATGAAACTTGTCTTGCCTCCCACACGATCGACGCACGCTTGTTCGAGATAACCTCATTCATGTTGCCAACGAAAACTCCTCCAATGGTTTGGTGTCGCCACCCAGGTTCAGCGTCTGGCTCTGGCGCTGCAACTTGAGGCTTGAACACATTCGTGACTTTCGACTCTTTGGGGCTGATCACGTATCGAAAGCATACTGGCCTGTCTTCACCATGAAGCCTCGCCTCAGGAAACCGACTTGTCTTTCTCACTACAAGCATTTAGAGGAATCGGGGCCTACCATGCCATACACAAGTGTCAATGCGTCAGTTTGAAGATTGAATGACCTGATGGGACCTCTGAGACGCAAAAGAATACGTCACAAAGAATCAGAACGCAGCCGAAGTCAGTGAAGACCACACAACACAGACCAAAAAACTACGATAGACTTTTAATGTAGAGTCTGTAGAGTCTTACAACATGACAAACTAACTAGAGAAGTTGCGCGACTAAGGGAATGAAGTATCAGACGAAACAATTGGTCTCTTAGGTTGCTCTAAATACAACAATGTTTCCAGTGACACACAAGACTGAAAGGGCCTCCAGCATGCGCTGCCTCAAGACATGGTCGCACACATCCACTTCACTCAGCCCTGCGTCACCCTGCGTCCATGGCAGAAGTCCTCAGCAGCTGACACAAGGGCAAGAGCTCCTTTTTGAAGGACACGAGCTGGAAGTCATCTTGCAGCCGCCATGGAATACCATGAAGTTCCTGCCTTGGATCACCTAGGTTGCCACTGGTACCCCGACAAACCAAGCACGCATCAACATAAGGCTCGACGTGACACTTTGCCAGAATGACATTTGACTGAGACGGTCACTGACAATCTTCTCCTCGTAGACACCCCGGCCAAACCCGAACAATTCAGATGGCTTCAGGTCAAGAGGGGTATCTGTCAAATTCCCAATCCAAATGGACCAGTCGTTCCCGATAGCAATGGCAGGCTTTTTGGAGACTCCAGCGCACTCAGCACGCCTGACAGGATTCAAAACTCGACGCTTAGAAACTGTGAGACTTGAATACAATGATAGTTACACTGCAATCACAGCAACCAGTCACCCGACGACCGAACGGCATGAAACGGTACTACTATACCGCTATACCCTTGCTTAAACTTGCTGCGAAACACACGCGAGACAGTAAGCACACGGTGCCCAGCAAGCCTCGCCAAAGTCATGTCGCCAACTGCTACGGCTGGCAAGTCAATCTGCCGCCGGACATCTAGCGGCTCCTTCCCACCATCAATGCTATAGTCGCACAAGCCACCAACTCTACCACCACGGCCATCAGCCGCACTTGGTTGAGAAGCTGTTGGGAACTGTTCCTTGAACCTCTGGCGCAAATCATGCACCTTTCGATATTCATCAGAATTCTCTGGGAATCTGGTCAACAGCGCATCTGGGAAATTTGGCGCGTTGCCAGACCATGCCAACATCTCCAAATCAGGCGTTGTGTCTGCCACTGTCTCTGGGCGAACACGTTGTTTTGGAGGGCTGTCAGGATTGGCATCCCACTCTTTGTACACCATGTTCCGGATGGCTGCGGAATTGACTGTAAACTCATCATGAACGAAGCCAAAATAGTGCACAGTCCTGCCGGAACCGTTCAAATCCCGTGCTGCAATGGCGCGTGCAAACTCTGCAAACCTGTCAAACGTCGAAACAAATCGCTTCCAAAACAAGTGAAACACCAAACAGAAACAAATACTGTAATAAATGCATTGAATGGGCATGCGTCGGCACAAGTCTGATCTTTCATCTAAAAGCCGCGGCCTGTTCGGCACCACATCAACAAAGAGCAAGATGTCTGAATCTTGGAAGGACATCCCGTCAAGAAAGGAATTCACAATGGCATCATAGCAGGCTGGACCCTTCCTGGTTACACGAGCCAACAGTCTGGGTAATGACACCAAATGGAGCTACCTCCCTCAAGCCATTTCCAAAACCTATCACGGCAACAACAGCCGCGGAAAAATGCAAGCAAAAGATGCGTGAGACCTACTAGCAAAGTTTGCGTTGCAACTTGCCAAGCGTCTGCTCCACCCGAGCCGACGCGCCTGGCTTCGACACTTCCAAGTCATACCCAACAAACTCGCTGATTTTGATGAGGGGGCACGGCCCCAGTTTCCCTTCCCGCACAGGCTTGCAATTTGCGAAGGCATGAGAATCGAAATGAGAATGGAATGTGGCCAAGCCAAGCTGTGATAGCGAGCGCGCGTCCCGCGCTGGCGAGTCTGGCTTTGTATACAGCAGCTGAACCAAATTCTTCATGGAAAGACCAGCCTTCAGGAAGGCATTGTCTAATAGCTGCCGATGTTTCACCAAGGCGGACTCAGAGGTCTGAGTCTGCCAAACCGGGTACATGACCAGCCCCACTGCATTGGACGTCATGGAGAGCAAAGCTGCAAAGGTTTTCAAAGCTGCTGCCACATAACTGGCATTTGCCGGAAACACCGTGAAATCCATGACGCAAATCAAATACCTAGCGCACTGAGATTCTGGGGCGATGAGACTGTGGTACAATACTAGTCGAGAGACACAGGCAGAGAGGGTGAGAGAGGAGAAAGAGAGAGTGCGAGAGAGGCAGAGAGGGAGAGATCGTTGAAAACATTGATAACATTATACTGTATTACTGAAAAATATCGAACAAAAAGCACTCTTGTCAAACAAAGTGACTCCTCGCCCTTGCCACGAAATTGCTCTTTGAATTTCAGGAACTGCGGCGCGGCGCTTTCCAATGTGTCATCTACCTTCACCAGCTGACAGTTCTGAGCCATCCAACGCTCGACGTGCTCGTTCCCTTGCCTGGTGGTAGCTGCGAAAGTGACAGGAATCGAACAAAGCCGCCTTGAGATCACATCAAATAACAAATGACAAGTTTTTGAATCAACACAGACCAGGATACGTTTGACGCTCCCGCAGGTACTTCATGTCGAGCGCACGCTCCTTGGCACTGGCATCTTCCTTGGGCTTGCGGCCTTCGAGCACCTTGAAATCCCGCTCTAGCTTCGCAACAAGTTGTTGCAAATCTGCTCGTCTCAGGTTCTCTGCCAACTCAGCATCCCGAAGCTCCCTCTCTGAGCGAACAGCAGCCTCCATTTTTGCGAGGAAAGGCCTGCAATGATGATACACTGGTCGACTGCTCACACTGACAACCGAACAAATATCTAGCTGACAGTTAGCCAGTCAACACTATTTGTTGAAGCCCCCCCGGAACTCGCAGTTTCCACATGCGCTCTTTTGCGATAGACGACTAGCCACGCCTGAAAGCTCCGACTGCACGAATGTCTCCCGGAGGGACCTGGACACTCATAGCGTGAATCAGATCAGGATCCAAAAAGCCTTCCATAAACTGGGCGAGGAGTGAATCTGAAGCATCCTTGAAATCCTTCGCAGGGAAGGAGCTCTGCAAAACGGCTACGAAGTGCAGAAAGGCTCCAGTTGCCTGACGCAAGGCAACCGCATCCTTGTAGGCCAAGGCTTTGCGAAGAGGTGCAGCTGTCTTGTCCCAATCGCCAAGGATGCGGCTCACGAACAGGTCAACCTGTCAGTCAGGCTGAAAGCAAATACTAATGATTGCGCAATGACTTGCGAACTTCACTGAGGCCCGCTAAAATTTAAAACAAATGTGTGCAACGTAGGTTCTGTTTCTAAACTCAGATTGAAACTTTTACTTGGGGCAAAAGAAACCCGTCCAGCTGACCAGCGTCACAAGAAAAAACACCTACTGTATCAAAGTCTAGGCACTAGTCGGCAATCCTCCTTGTTGGTCAGTTGGTCCTTCCATGCTTCACACGCCACCATTCCAGAGCTCCATCCAGTGTTGAAGACAGACTTGGCAATGGCTTCATGCGACAGGAAACGCGCCATTCCGCGAACTCGGACCGCGGCGCAAAGAGTTTCAACCACTGTTGCAGGCACCTTGCACATGAGGTTGCTAACAGCCTCGGCCTCCTTGGCACCTATCGAGAACGCCCTCGCAATGGTGGTGGACTGCGACCATTCCTCAACGGGTAGAATTTGCACAAAAACTGGGCTGATATTTGTATACACATTGGGTTGGTCAGGTGACAGACTATACGTTTCACAGAGCTCCCCTATTGTTAGCCTCGCTGTCAACACAGTAAAACGCAATGAACACGGGACTAGATTCTTCAAACTGACGACTGACGTTCAGCGTTCCCTCCTCCTGCTCGCTGCAATATAATCACTTGCCTTCGAAAATGGAATGCATTAGGTCGCACTCGCGTTGCAGTGCTGACCACGCTGACGCCTGCCAAGAAGGAGCACGGGTCATTCTTCTCCAAGCTAACAGGCGGAATAATGGATATAAACAAATCATGGACCACGTTGAGCTGTGGGCAAATGGAAAGAACATGAAGGAAAAGTTTGTCAGACTGAGAACGCAGCAAATTGGAATCAAAACAGCCTCGGCATGTTTGATTCCCGAACCTCGATTTGCGTACACTTGTGCGCGTACGTCCTTGAAACTTGTGAAGCTTGCAAATATAGTTCCGAAAGAAGCCTCAAATTTGAACGTAAAAAACATAGAAAGGTACCCGCAGCAAAGTACAGGAGCACAGAAAACATGGGCTAGAACTTCTCTCAAGAAACACGAACGCTGTGGGGAATCTGGTCGGCCAGGCCAAGTTCTTTCACTGCCTGAAGGCAGATCAAGGCCATGACCGCCCTTTTCCACCCTTTCACGTATCCCACGCTGAATGGCGGTAAAAGCGCTCCGCCTCGCAACAGGAACATGAACTAAACCAAAAAACTTTTCACGCGAAAGGCGAAACATGTGCTCAACAAACCACATACTGCTTGGCATTGTTGACATGACTTTGTGATTGGCCTCCAAACACTGATGGGAGCTCTGCACTAGCAGAATCAAGGAACTCTGCAGGCACCTTTGTCGTCGACAACTTCTCGACTTCTGGCATGTCCGGATTCGTCAGCATCCTTGGACGCAAAGGCGAAAGAGCACTGGGGATCAACATGAATGTAGCGTTGTCATGTGGCACGGTCGAACAAAGCCTGAAAAACTAAACGCGCGATTGACAAAACATATGAATTCCAATATGAGAAGCCCTTCTGCTAGCATAACTTCTAAGATCATGGAGGCCACATCTGGTTCCAGGAATCCACTGCAGCCGTAGTCTGCTCTCCAATGGAGCATCCACGGCCTGAGGTGGCTCGCTCCGTCAAAGGAGGTTGCGTAGTCAAGCCTTGGATGGGTAGCGCGTGCACACCAGCACAATGTAATAGGAAGGCGTGATTAAGAGTGGTGGGTTGGGCTGGGCAACATGATAGAAGATTGAACAGGACGCGGGCTCAATCGAACAAATGTCCAGAGGCCACCAAGGGTGCATTAGAACCGTGGCCTCCTCTCAACCTTTCGTGTATCTTGTGGTTTTTGTTGTCCTCCCAACTGCGTTGGCAGCTGGGGTGCGTATTGATTTCAAATGGAAAAAACTGAAACAAGAAACGCCTAAAGGGAATGCTAACTGAGGAGCTCCTTGCTCAGGTTGTGATTTCTGTGAAGCTATATATATATATATATCGACCAGAGACTCCCTGCGATCGCCGGAACATGCCGTAAAATCAAATTCAACGCTGCCAACAGCAACTTTGACCCTCAAGCAGTTGGCCGCAATGCACCGGCCATCCCATTCAGTGGGGACCAATGCAAAATCAATATGACTGAATCTGAATGGGCCAACCCACGACCCAAACGGCAGGCCTGGGGTCTGCAGGCGCAAACTGGTCAATCCACTTGGCAAAGTCCAGCATCTTAGCCTCCGGCCACAGATCTACATGCTGTTATGGAACAAACCTAATATTAAACAACATTGTATTTACACGTTCCCCAACCCTCAACGCGATTCATGGCAGAACACCTCGTCGCTGTAGATTTTGGTCAGGTAGCGATCGGGGCCGCCACCAGCGAACACAACTTCGTTCAGCCTAGGAAGCATTAAATGACATGGCATGAACTCTCAGTTGAGACCCCTGTTTTGGGTCTATATATATATATATATGAAGTCTCCCACAACGGAGGCCCAAACCAATATCAACTGCGACTGTCCAATCTTTACGCTCACACAAATGCGTGACTGTAACACACGGCCTTCTCGGGGCGCTTGCATACCAAGCGCTAAAGAGACACCAACATCCGACATCGAGATGACACTAAGAGCAAACACCCTTTAGTATCCCAAGGACGCCAGCGATCCCTGACCGCTTTTGAACCCCCATAAAATTGTACCGTTTTATCAGGGCTCAAAATTGAACTTTGTGTCACAAAGGGCCGCAAACCAAGGACGGGCTGTTTTCAATCATGTTCCCTCGGTGCCTTTTGAACAACACAAGTTCCAACCAGCCGAGAAACCACGCGACACACTGTGGGATATAGGGCTTGTCCTTCAAGGTCTCAGCGCTCAGCTTGGGGGCCTTCTCCTTGGATTGCTTCTCCCCTCCACCGGATTTACGCTTCGGTGCCATCTTGCTGCTAGAAGACGGCTGCGGGTGCGAAACAGTACCCTTGGGCCACAAACATGAAGGCGCTGATTGAAATTGTGAACTGCACACAGCCTTAAAAGCCAACCATTATTTCTTGGAGAGCTTACTAGTCACTAGTCCGAACAGCTGGGTCATGTTGGGGCTTTCAAGTCTAGCGCCAGCGTCGCAACCATTCAATTCGTATGGTGGGGTTGCGGTTTCATGATTGCGTCACGGTCGCAACACAATGCGTTTGATGTTTGTTTGTTTGCCGTCTTATTGTAAACGAACGCCATCGCAACCTTTGGCCTGGTAAGGGCCATGGAAGAGGAATCAAAGAAGCGAAGCGCCAACATGGTAGCTCAATGAAGACTTCAGAAACGAAGAAGGCTTCTTTCAACGAACGGTTTCTCTTGGTTTCTCGAACATTGCGTGGAAGCTGAGCTAAATGTCAAAGCCCCACATCACAACCACCAAATGCTTGCAAAGCCTCACTAGTGCCTCGAGCTCAAATCCATCAACACTAAACTAAAACCTGTCCCTCCAATCCTGACTATATAGTCTCTAGACTGGCTCCAACAGCCATTGAAACAGATCAGACTCATGACTTATGATTCACTACGGGTACGACGTTCTATCACAGCGCAGATCTGGGTCCGACTGCCATTGAAACAGGTTGGAACTGATTGGTCGCACCTGAAATCCGTCACCACTGGGCTGGCTGGCCAATGTATCAAAGTAATTGATCACACCCAAAAATCCGTCACTTCTAGAAGTGACTGATCCCAGCTGAGATCCGTCAGTCACTCGACAATGTATCAAAGTGACTGAGCACACCCAAAAATCCATCACTTCTGCAATTGAAACCAGTCAGAAGTGACTGATCCCACCTCAGATCCGTCACTACTGGGTCCGACAATGTATCAAAGTGACTGACAGAACGCCCAAAAATCCGTCACTTCTGGAATTGAAACGAGTCAGAAGTGACTGATCCCACCTCAGATCCGTCACTACTGGATCCGACAATGTATCAAAGTGACTGATCACACCCAAAAATCCGTCACGTCTGCAATTGGTCACTACTGGGTCCGACATTGAGTCAAAGTGACTGATCACACCTCAGATCCGTCACTGGCTGAACTCCCACAAAGCAGAGTCAGAAGTGACTGATCCTAGGTGTGATCGGTCACTTCTGCCCAGGGTTTGCTGGTTGCAACACAGCTCTGGGCAGATCAAACCTTGGCCACCTGATGGTTGAACAGGAGTATCCGTGACCATTCCTAGGTGGGATCAGTCACAGATAAAACCTGTTTTTAAGTCTAGACATTTGAGACTGATTTCCAGAAGCGTTAGTGTCTGATTTCCAGCAGTCTGCCTAAACGGTACTGCCGCACCCGAAAAGTGGAATGCCTAAACGTTTAGGGTTTAGGGATGCGAACTATTCTCTTGAACCTGCCTGATTCGATGCCAAAATGACTGCTGCCGCGGTTTTTCTCACTGCTTGCCACCGTTCTGCTAGTCAGCGTTTCCCTTTGCCTTTGCCTTTGCCTTTACGCGGCAAAGGTCTGGGAAGGCCAGACCCCGAAGCTTCCATTGCCTCGCGCGACATTTTCAAGGCTTCGCTCCAGGGTACACCATGCGACCAAGCTCTGGCTGCAATGTCATACACCAACGACCTGCGTGCGCTCTTGACATAGGCCTTCACTTTTTGCACTCCAGGTTTAATCAGCCTTGGCCACACGTTTCACGGGGATAGAACTTAACATGGCACAAACGATTTCGTAAACATTACTAACGAACTAACGAACGATGAAAAGTGTTCGCTGTGAAGGGTGGTGCGCTTGAGGGCATTGGGTGGCACGAACAAAGGATCTGCGTCTGCAGCAGCTAATGCTCGTGCTCCAGGGGCCCGCGGACCAGACTGAATCAAGCACCTTAAGACGAAGAAAGGAGTTCACATCCAATGGAAAAAAAGAACGCTACTGGCAATTTTCCTCTTGAGTTGGCCAAGGACGGGGCCATGATGCAAGAAATGCGGGCCCCAAATCGGTGTTCATCTGGGCCTTTCGCGACTCAACCCTTTAAAACAAGAAAGGATGAAAAGGTCACGTGAACGTA